AAAAGGGACTAACAAGACTCGATGCCTACCGGTGCACGAGGTAATCTGTGCAAGAACCAACGGACTACGGTCACTCAAAATACTTTGGGACACACCAATGAGGAGGGGTTGTCGCCTACAGTTTGATGCCCGAGCATCAAGCCTACAGATCCAAGCAACCAAATCGCCACTCATGCGCCGTACGCTAAAACGACCTTGGACGACGATCGACTATTCACCAAGCAACCAAATCGCCACTCATGCGCCGTACGCTAAAACGACCTTGGACGACGATCGACTATTCACACCCACACCAAATCGCCACTCATGCGCCGTACGCTAAAACGACCTTGGACGACGATCGACTATTCACACCCACCGCGAGCGGGGGATCAAAATCATCATTCGAAGCCAAGCCCAAAGCGTCGTGCGCGGTCAGACCATCAACCATCCTAGAGACGGCCCGAGTCTGAAGGCAGCATCGCAACCTTTCGTGCAAAGCGAGGCTCACGTCGCACGCCCGAAGGCACTTGACACCGCCCAACCGTGCACGTTCTGCCAACACGCAACCTTCAAAACATAGGGCTGCCCCAAGGATGGCCCGACGGCGTCACCACAACGTCGCACGCTCGACGAGGCTCATGTTGGACGCCCGAAGGCACCCAACTCCACCCCACCTTGCACGCTTTGTCGTCGTTCCGACCATCCACCATCCCGAAGGCAGCACAAGTTAGAAGGCCACATTCCATGCTCAACTAGTCTCATGTCGCACGCCCAAAGGCACCCGATTCCAACCAGCCGAACATGTTCTGGCACCACACGCCTTCAAAACATAGGGCTGCCCCAAGGATGGCCCGATGGCGTCACCACAACGTCGCACGCTCCACGAGGCTAATGTTGGACGCCCGAAGGCACCCAACTCCACCCCACCTTGCACGCTTTGTCGTCGTTCCGACCATCCACCATCCCGAAGGCAGCACAAGTTAGAAGGCCACATTCCATGCTCAACTAGTCTCATGTCGCACGCCCAAAGGCACCCGATTCAAACCAGCCGAACATGTTCTGGCACCGCACGCCTTCAAAACATAGGGCTGCCCCAAGGATGGCCCGACGGCGTCACCACAACGCCGCACGCTCGACGAGGCTCATGTTGGACGCCCGAAGGCACCCAA